CACACAAGACTTTGTCAGAGTGACTGTTTACGTTTCTTTTCAGGCAGTTCCTGAAATCTCAAACAAATGTCAGATTGCAAACCTGTTAAGTTCCCTATAAAGCCCTGTATTTGCCTTGAGGAAAACAGGGGCATTTGTTGTGATCCTGAGGATAAACATGAGGATATCTCCAAGCCAGTTGTGCAATGACATTTCTGGGAAGCCTGTGCTGCTCTTACACAGAATGTCCTTCTAAAGTGGGCCAGAGCATCCCACAGAAACAGGCCACTAACTCTACATGGGGGAGACAAGGTCCAGGGTGGGCACAAAGGGAAAACACCAGTTGTTTTCATGGGAAATTCAGAAAATTGCCTCCCCACCATGACTATTTCCCATAAAGTGAATTCATCTTCATAATTTCAGCTCAGCTTTGGCATGCTGCTTTTCCTCACTCTGGACAGTTACCTTTTCTTCCTCATGGTAAAATGGAAAAACCAGAAAGGATAAAAATAGCCCCCCCAAACAAACTTTTAAATACTAAAAACTCAAACTCTTCCATATAAAACAAAGCACTACTAGCGGAAAACAGGCCATTTCTCATCAAGTGTCTTGACAGCACATTTGATGCAAACCATCCCTGGCTTCAGAAGAATGTTAGTGTCTCACAAGAAGTGTTAACCCTGATATCCTGCCAGATAGCAACTCAGTTACGTCTAGCTCCTTCAAATTCCCCCTGGAGTGCCAAATGGACACACTGTTTTTCTTTGTTCCCTTTTCTTAGGTATTCTTAGAGTAGTGTTCTATTAAAGAGCTCTTTGCCCTTTCCTAGAATCAAACTCTCACTACTGTAACAGGCTGAATCTTGCATACAGTTGATGTTTTGTCAACTGCTTTTGGAGTTTTCATGACAGAAATGAGTTCAATTATCAATTCTATGAAACTGTCCCTGGGAGAATAGTCTTTTGAGCTAAATACACCAAGAAGTTACCTGCATTCCTTCAGAATCCAATGACAAAAAGAGAAGGTGAAACCCACACAAAATCACACACACAACCTTTGCATAGCTACAGATTCTTCTTTTTGTAGTCCATTTCCAAGCCAAGGCTTTGTTTTTAAGTGCTGTAAAAACATGAGGCAAAACAGTTGTCCTACCAAGCTTCCAGGTACACCATGAAACAAACATGCAAAGGTACAAAAGGAACCATGAGAAAACAAAGAACTAGCAAGCGTGTCATGTACTGTTAGTTATCACTGAGATGCAGGAAATACCTGAAAAATCAGCAGAAATCAAAGATCCATCAGCTTAATTTTCAGGTGGCTTACAGCAGTGTACGTTGCTTTTTACTAGTTCCAGGTAGAAACATTCCATGAAAAATGGAATTAAAATTCTAATAAAGCTTCCCAGTAGCCTCTGGGAGCAAAAGTGCTTTTCTTTAAGAAAATGCTGGAGTGGTTCTTGGCTTTGCTGGAGTGTAGCATTGCCAGGGTTTAAGAAGGATCTCAAGGAGATGTGATAGGGCACACTGCAGGTTGCCTGTGTTATTAAAGCACAGGAGAAGACCAGAGTCCGCATACTAGAGCACAGCCCCAGGCTGACCTACCACTGCTGAATGCTGCAGAGCTGCTTCCATATCATCACAGATTTTCCATGTATAAGTCTGGTGAATACATAGCCAAATGCATGCTGTCAGATCCAATTGCTGATGCCAACAGGCACTGGAAGGATCGGCACCATAACCTTTTTCCTAGTGCAGTGGGACAGTCTTGCTACTCAACGCAGTAACTGTATACCCCTGGGACAGCACTCTAACAGAGTCGCTGACCTCAGAGCTTAGAGGGCAGAGCTCAGCTACACCACAAAAGGTTCTTTTACTATTACAGCTGCACCCACTCTAGCAACTTCACCCTGGTATAACATACTGATTCTAACACACTGAACACCTTTTTGTCAGACAACCATCAGTCTGACTCAATGTGCCTTGTGGAGAACAACCCCTAACACTAACATAAAGGGTCACTGCTAATAGCAGGGCACCAGAAAGCTGGATTTGGCTTCACACATGTACTGCTTGGGATCTTGAACCCATCAGTTTCTGAAGGGCATAGCACATACACTAGCCAACAAGATAAGAAAAAGCACATAATACCCGTCTCAAAGCTAGGTATATAAGCATTACCCCTGTGAACATATTTGATTACTAGAAAATTAGCTTTTACTTTTATGAAACGCTCATTCAAAATATTCAGAAACGACTTCAGGGGAGTCAAAGAAGGCTAAGGAGACTTCCAGCACCTGAAAATTTAAACTATTTCAGTAAAAGATTTAAATGAAAGCATTTGCTGTTTTTTTACTGGCTGAGAAATGCAGCATTCTATTATGAAGTTTTTGCACTCAAAAGGATCAGATATTTCCCTTGGAAATATCCATTTTCATTTTTACTATTGCAGTGTGTTACACAAGCAGTTTGAAACAATTTCAGCCAGCTGTGGACTGAGATAAGAATCAGATGTCAAATACTTGCATATAGACACATACATTAGCATGTATCACCTTCAACTCCTCACTCCTTCCCAATTTATTTACCTAGCCTTTATCAGGGAAGTAAGCATGGTCATGCCCCTGCCCGCACTTAGTAAAGTCTTTCATCTTGTCTTGTTTTAAAAGTCTCCCTAAAAGTATTTGGCTCCTGTTTCCTGTCTCCTCACACAGCTGTTCACTTGCCCCAGTGAGGTAAACAGTGCAAGAGACAAGGACTGTATATATTAGCCATGCTATTAGAATGTTTAACAATAAAAACCCAAACCAGGCAACCTTCCTTTTGAGTTTGCTTGGCTTCTCTAAACTCTGTTTTCCACACTAGTCTTCCCCTTTATCAGCAAGAAAAGCAAGCTATCATTAGCACTAACTTTTTACTGCAGAAGATAAATTAGACTTTAGCTAGCAAATGAGACTCCCCAGCCTCCTTTTTTTCAGGATGATCTAGTAACAGGGAACCACAACACTTCCTTACTTTTCCCCAGAACACACTCCTAATATTGGTGAATGAAGCTGGACACAGAGCAGAAAGACGAAGCTATCTGTTGGCAAGACGGGTAAAGCATGGGCAAGGCAAAGGGCAGTTCAATGAGTAATGCAGTACCAGGAAACAAAACATTCCAGTTTTTGCTGTGAGATTTGGGAAGCCACTTACACTCCCCTCACCAATGCTTGGACAACTACTGAGAGGCTGAAAAACTCAACTCACAGGTGAGGCATAAGCTGTTGAGGGCAGGGACCATGTCTTATTTTGTGTTTATGTGTTACTAGCATAGTGGAGATGCCTAGAGGCCAAAGACATAAGAATATCTATGATAAAACCCATTGTGTTTTATAGATAGAAGTAGAACTAGTCATACAAAGGTAAATCATTACATTACAGCCAAAACCACCTTCTCTCCAGCAACAGCTTATTCCTGTTACTCCAAGCCTTCAAAATACAGGAATACTCATCAGCTGGGTAGGGTCAGTGTATCAAAGACTGCAGTTCCCATTTGTCTCCATCAGCAAGGTAAGCAAGCTACCTTTGCTTCCCGATTTCCACAAAGCAGCTTTCCTGGCCATTTGTGCAGGGCTGACCCAGCCCAGACACCTCTGGCAGAAGCCTAGCTGTTCATTCTAACCTTGCTGCCTCGTCTCCTGGAGTCTAGTTTAAACACCATTGCTACCACATTGAAGCACAGACAGCCAAGGGAGATGAGGGGGGACAAACTGCTGTCTGCACTCCCCTGCACATTCTGCAACATGTGCACACCCCCATCACACTCCTACAGATAAAACCTTTGCTAACAGCAATCCCTAGAGCAAAAACCTTTCCTACTGTTTATTCAGCAGCTCTTCAAGTACTGCATGTCTTTCAGATATCCAGAAATCTGGCTAGTCCATGTTCCACACCTGTAAAACTTAAGGAACAGGGCTGTCCCCTGCAACATTTTATAGCTGCCCAAAAACTCTATTCTACCTGTGCCTAGCCACATCACTACACCACCTTGTGGGCCTCAATTCTTCCCAGGGAATCGAAGACCAACTCACTTTTTCACACCTGTACTCAGGTTCCCAGGGGATAGGAGGACCCAGGAATCATAGCCTTTGCCCAGCCACAACAGATTTCAAAGCTGTCTGCCTGTCAGGGTGATCTGGTGAGCAGAACAGAAACAGAAGCACACTCACCACTTTACAGTGCCTCTATAGATGCAGAAATCCTGCCTGCTTCTGAGTCAGCCTTGTAGGCAAGCCCCCTGAAAGATCTCAAGGCTGCAAAACTCTTTTCTCCACAGGCTACAGCTTTAACAAACAGTTCTCTTCAGCCCTTCTACCTTCACTCTCCCCTTCCTTTAATGCCTCCTTTCCTTTTCTCCGCTCCTCTCCTATCCAACAGTCAGCCTCTTCTCATTCCCTTTTTTCAGCAGCCTTATTTCCCTTCACTTATTCCATTGCTTGCCTTGCCCCTTTATCTCCCTTCTCCCATCCTTTTCCCCACAAATCTTCCCACTTGCATTTCAACACATCTGTTTCTAATCTAAGGCATCAATTGGAAACAATAATGCCATTTTATTTTAAAATCCTAATGTTAAATACCCAAGCAAATCAAAACAGAGTTAAACAAATCTGACACTATGCCTGAAACAAAGACATTTTGTTCACCTTGTTTTGCCAGTGATTCAAGCCCCTCGCTAACTCATTGCTTAAAAACACTACCCTCCCTCTTTAAACAAGAGACATACATTCCAAAAGGAATCTGTTCAACCACCACTTCTAAAAAGTTAACCCAGATATTAAAAGAACTCTGGCTAGCAATCTGCTAATAAATAAAGCAACCAGTAAAGCATCAGAACACAATCAATACCGAAAAAGGAGTTCACCATAAAAGTTTCTTCCTTACCAATCCCTTTCTCTAGCTCATCAGAAATTAATTTCAGTCATGCAGAGAGGACACGTGGAAGTTTGATTAAAAACGCTGAACAAAACCAAAAATCCAACCTACCTAAAAAGAGAATTGAAAGTGCAGACATTCCGTTTCCAAGCAAGAGGGACTTTTCCTCCCTTTTTCTTCCTTTCTCCCAGGAACAGCAGGCAGACCTGCACAGGATTCAACAGAACGCCTCTGGAATGCACTGAGTGTAATTGCATCCATGTGCCAGAAAAATAACCAACTTCACTCTTTCTTCCTTTCTGCTATTCATCTCCTTGTCCATATTCCATCCAGACTCAGTGAGAGCTTTTAGATCTCTGCAGCTGGTAATTCAGGCCCTTGAGTTTCTGAAAAAGAAGAGACAGAGGCAGTGCAGCAAGGAGTTCACATCTACAGCAGCACAGAACAATTTTGCTTGTCTGAAAAGAAAAGGAGAGAAGCAGGGGAAAACACTGTGCTCAATGTTCACCACATGGCTGCCTCCCAGAAGAGCCCCTCCCTACCATCAGCTGGGATTAATAGTGAAGACCAGTCATGTGGGTGAGGTAGAGCCAATTTCAAACAGTAATATATATATTTATGTTTGGAAGAGAAACAAGAGGATTTCTCTAGCATCCAAACAGTTAAGTTTGGAGACAGTAAAAATCCAGCATGGAAGAAATCAGATTCGTCACTCAAGGGCTGGAGAGACTCACAGAAAAAAGCACACATGCTCTTCTGAATGATAAACACTCACATGTATACACGATCTTTATTCTTTTTTATAGCTAGTAAAAAGCAGAATTAGAGCTTTTAGTCTTACTGTAAGAGTTTCTCACTTTGCTTCATTGGTTTTTTTTTTAGTTTCTAGGAAAGAAAAAAATTCCCAAAAATAAATTATGTATTTTATCTGTGCTTTACTGACAAGAGAAAAAGCCAGATCAATTGTCTACACTCAGTGACTACTGTGGGATGCAATTTATAACTCACTTGCAAAGGCCTTTTTAAGCCAGCCCAAGACACCTTCACAGCCCATCTTCAGCTTCACCCTAGTGTAGTTAGCAAGTTATAAGAACTAGCTCAGATAATCCATTCCATTTTTGCCATCACAGCAGTGAAGAAAAAACTCTCAGTTTCTGTAAGAAGGACCAAACATGGTAGGAAGTACAACTCGCAGGAGATAACTGACCATCTGAGCTGAACCAGCCAAGCAAAACTTTTTTTCTTCAATAAAACAAATATAAATCTTGCTGCTTACAGCAAGGCCATGGAAACATGGATGTTTTACATGTGAGCATATGCTCAGCTGCTCTGATCTATTGTACTTCACACATATGCAGGTCATGCTTGCAGCTTTACATCCATCTGCCCTAGGATACATCCGTTCTTCAGAAAAGCAAAGCACTTTCAGCTAGCCTATTTGGGTGTTAACAGAAGAGCAACACTGGCTACCTGAAACTCTACAGTGGCTGTAGAACCATTAAATAAACTGAGTAAGCATTTGAGTGGCTATGCAGTGGTGATTCTGGTGTGCCCCAGCTATACAGATACCAAGACCCCCAGCAGTTAGTTTAAATCTACTAAGATGCAGCTACATCAGCAACAACTGCATGTTTTACTAAAAAATGGGCTTACTCAAAACAATGTCCATCATACACAGGTGACTCCAAATCAAATTATTTTACCCATCTTGTGGCCAAAGAAAAGCTTTGGAAGACAGAACAAAAAAATCTTTTCCCTTGGAAACACTTAGAAAAGTATTTCTAAGACCTAATAGAAAGCAAGCCACACATGCAAGGCTGCTAGCCTGTGGTTTGAGACCCCAGACTGGAGTTTCAAACTCCCTCATTAGCTCCCTGTGTAGCCCCATCTACACTTAGTTTCTATATACCTTTCTTGTCAAATCGGGCCTAGTAAGCTGCTCTTCCTCTTCAGGGATAAAAACAGATACAGCAATCTTCATAAAGTCCACAATGAGGGGCACTATGCTTAGTAGCTCTGTCAGATTTCAGTACCTTAGCTCTCCACCATACAAGCTTTTCAAGCATTTGCTTGAAGATAAAAAACTCTGCTACCCTCGACAAAATCAGACCCTAGATCCACGTAGATCCTATCAGAGAGAAACAACATGTATGAAAATTATCCTTCTGCATCCTGCTCATTAAAGTTTTGTTTGCCCTTCCCAGCCTCAGATGGAAACAGAAGCAGCACTTGGCTCCTCCTCTTCAAAACAGCTGCTCTCTCTGCAACAGTGAGAAAATGTTTTAAACTGCATATTCAACTGATCTAGACTGATATCTGATTTAGATGATAATACAAAAGCAATTATTATAAGGTGAATATAACAGTTCCTACAGAGGCAGCTGTATCTACCCCATCTAACCGTAACAAAAGAGCAAATTCCTTCAGAACTTCTCCCCACACACTTGACCAAACAGGCTGCTGGTTTTCAAACAGTTGAGTGGATCCCGAAGTACATCATTGATTTTCAATGCAGGACATGAATCAAAGGAGAAAAGTGCATTTAATCCCTTCCCCCACTCTCCAGAAGCCAAGCAGCACTGAGCTTGTCTCTCTGCATTACGAGTCTGACAGAAGATGTCCCAAGCTACACTGTAAATACCCAGCATGCTGCTTTGCTTTAATAGAATCAATGCTTCAGAAACCAAGAGAGAGAAGTGCTGTCACCCTGCACTCGCTGCCCAGCCTCCACTGAAATCCACAGAGCTAGGATGTTCACAGAGGAGGAGGGGGTTGTGGAGAATGACGGAGGAGGGCATGCATGCAAAATCTCCTTTTTATCATCCCCGACAAGCCATTCCACAGTCTGTTCTC